GCTTCCAGAAGCCTAACTGAAGTCAGAATAAGCTACTTGCGTTTCACAAAAAATAAAGCGCTGTGTCCTTTCTTTTCTGTCTTCTCCCCTCTGGTAGATCAAATATAATACACCACCAGTGTACTAATTCTAATATTCATAATGTTGGCCTAAAGGAGCAAGAGGATTGGAAGAAAATAGAATGAAGAAATTTAGAGTGCAGAAGACACTTGAGTTCAGCATCTGCAGGTGAATGAGAAAGGGAATAGATGGAAATTGGTTTCAATCCCAGTTCTCCTTCCTCCCCACTGGCTTTCTTTTCAGTTTAAGAAGCAAGAAAGAGGTCATGGTTCTTTATTCAAAGCTTTTCAAGTTATCAACCGGCTGTTTATCCATCAGGAACCTCAATGCTCTGGCAGAGATCAGTGAAAACAGCCACCATCCTCCTATTTCCTTCACAACCTGCATTTGAGAGCATTCCTGATCAGAGAGAAAAAACCCTTTCTAAGCATTCTGAGTCACAAGCCTCTATTCAAACAGCTCCCTTCAAAGATGTAGCATCTTTTTATATAGCAAGAGACTTTTTACATTTGGAAGAAACTACTTTGACTCCAGAAAGTGGGGCCAAATACACATCCCACATTGCTTCCTGAGGAGGAACGGTTCAGCCCCACAGCCACCACTGAGCCTGCAGGATCTGTACTTCCAAGGGACAGGACGTCAGTCCAGTGCAGGACATTTCCCTCCCTCCTTCCCATCCAGCTCAGATACCTGTGCATCCATTTGTGTGGCTTATAATATTACAAAAATGAAAAATGTCCCTATAAAAGCTGTTTTATAGAAAAAGCCTCCCTCCCTCCCTGGGTCTCCCTCCAGCTCACTGCCTCATCCCCTTTCCAGCCACTCCTCTCTGCCCAGACACATCCCTTCCCATCCCCTCCCACACCCCAAACCAAGGGCTCAAAGCAGGTGAGGGCTGCCTGGGCACCAGCTAGAAGAGCACTTCAGCACTCACTATGGGTCCTGGGCTGGCCCTGGTGTCCCAAGAGTCTCCACAGGAGCTCTGGGGCTCCTTGCATGAGTGAACAGTTATAAATATTCTCAGATGTGGTGGCTTCCGTACACTGACAACAGTTTTCTTTATCCTGAGGAAAATATAATTATTATTCAGGTAAGCCTTCCTTAAAACTTTTATTCCTCTGTTTGCCACCTTACAACAGCAAATGGAATTAAACTCTCACACAACTGCTGATGTGGGAGAGGAAGAGCAAACACTGACTGGTATGTACATACTTATTAAGGATCTGCCTCTTATTTTACGAAAAAGTGTACTGTTACTCAGCCTTGGAAAGTTTTGGCAATTTCATGAAAGTTTTGAGCACCACTCCTTCTTCCATAGGGAAGATGTGAGGAGAGCAGAGTACTTCTTCACAGCCATATACCCCACAGTTAAGGTTTTGTTCATCCTGCCTGGCTCAAACACACAGGGGAAAAGCCTAAAAACTTATTACCAGAAGACAGGCTCTCCTACACATTTCCCATGTGGTACATGAGGTGCAGGTGAACTAGCCCAGCACCAGAGCATGGCTGGAAAGAAGCACACAAGAAGTACTAAGAATCCCAAGAAGACACCATCCTGCAGATGTGGGACAGTAAAAAGCCACTCACGAAGGACACAGGCCAACCACTGCAAAGGCATAGGTTGTCCTCAGACATCCTTGTAGCGTGGTGTAGGAGAGCCTTTCCCAACCACCATGCTAGGTAGCTTCTCTTCCCACAGGCCCTTGCTCCAGAGGGCTGTCCATAGGTGCTGGGTTTTACTTCAGGAGTTTAAACATTTCCTGAAGCATTGACAAAACCTGTCAGCACTGAATATGTCAAACTGTCTCAAGCACTGTGTAGGTTCCTCCTGACAGCTTGCCAATGTGTCTTAACCAGTGTCATTTCATTCCTGGTCTTTTTTGCCATGTCCAAACTCAAGTCATACTGACAAATGAAAGTTAACTCCAAAACTCACTCTAACTTTTGTCCTATTGCAGCTTCGAGCCAAAGGCAAAGAGTTAGTGCTTTAATCCACTTCACCATCTATCCCTCTGGGAGGTCATAACTCAGCCATGAATGTTTGTTTTGAGCTGAAACCTGCAGTGCCGGTTCTCCGCCAAAGAGCCACGGCAAGGCGGCAGGCAGCTACTCTCCCCACAGGCACTCAGTGGGGAATCAGTGAGGGACCTGGGGGCAGAGGAAGGGCAGAGCCCCTCTGCAGGGTGGGATGTATGGAAAGGTGAAGTGTGGAAAGGGAGGGAGGGAAAAATTACAAGACATATATACGATAACACCTTCGCATTTGGCTTACACCTACTTACTCTGTTATGGCTTGGCTGTATTGGCTTTTCATTTTGTGAGCTACAGACTGGGGCTTTTTCTTGATCCTGATTAGGCAGTGCTGCTGTCAGTGTAATGCTCTGAATCATCATAATCATTATAATAAGGTCAGTGTGACAGGGTCTTGTTTCTAAAACCGACCATTTTTGCACTTGTGAGTAAACATTTTGACATCTTTGAGAGTTTTATGCAGCTTTTTAAAATGAAGAATAAAATTCAAGCAAACAATGCACTTTATCTGAGGTACTACCATTGCGCTGCCTGCATGTCTCAGGCATTGCGGGGGAGGGGGTGGGTGGGTTTATAATGCACTTGTGAAGAGTGAAAATGCTACCTCCATTTTACAGAAGAGGAACTGAGGTACAGAGGAGGTAAATGACTTCCCCAAGGTGAGGTAAGATTTCTCAAGCTAAGCAAAGAATGGAAATGCTTCACAGAATCTAGATCACTGAAGTCCTGTGGTGGATTTCCAAGCATGGGGGCACTAAGATGTGAACTATGACCTTTACTGGCTAAAAAATAAAATTAGATATCCTCTTCTCAGAACACAAAGTACTTTATATATGCTGTGTTTCCAGACAGTTTTCTTCCGTTTTGATTTCTAGAGTTACATCTTTAATTTCTTTAATGCAAAGCTTGGTGGATTTATATCAATAATGGACCTAATGAAAGATTTTTCCATTTCTAAAACCCTTTTTCTGTTCTGACATGCACGTTCAAAACACATCTTATTGAACAGCTCTCTTATTTTGCTTAGGTAGCTACTCCTTTCTTTATAAACCTTTCCTAACAATTAGTTAATCTGAATTTTGAAACTCCAGAAGGAAAATAAACTTTATAACCTACTGTCATCTATATAAAGGTATACATACAGCTATGCCTGATCAAAGTTACATCACCAAAGATCATTGTGGACGTAAGCGTGTTAAATAATACTTTATTTAACTTGCTTACATTTAACATCCTTAACATTTATTTAACAGAGGCAAAGTCACCCAAGCCATAAATTTCCTGACCAAGTTTCATTACAAACGTACATGGAAAAACATACTGTTTGTCACCTACTGACGAGTCAGTGTGAGAATAGACATGATTAAGCAAGTGTGTGAACATGAATAGCTGAAAAGTTGAGGTGTTCTTGCAGCTCTTGGTGTGGAACACTGCACAAAGATCTGCCCACTTCATTCTGGCTGAGAGTGCATTAAATGATCAATCACCAGCTCACCCACACAGACATTTACCTTCAAAGGAAAAAGGGACAGAGCTTGCACAGGAAGAATATATATTATTCAGATAGGCAGAAACTGGAAAGCTGAAGGATGAACAGTTCTGATGATAAAAATACATGCCAGTTTCCTGTGGTACTTCAGTGTCTTCTGTAGCAAGCTGTAACAAACTATGAGTGTAGCACAGGCTACACAATTTTATCCTTCGTACAGGAAAATGGCCACAAAAGAGGTGTCAAACGAACACAACAGCCATAATCAAACACTTGCACAGGGTCTTGCAACAGAATATAATCACTGTGTTTGCAGTCATCTTTATTGTCAGTCCACATCACACTCCTATCAGTACGCAAATAACACTTCCTATGTGGCTGCACTGATGAGGCATGCCTCTGGGCCATCCAACTGCCCTTCTGACTCCCATACATCAAGCAAGCCCACTTTAGCCAAAAAAGTTGCACAAGAGTGGCTCTTGCCAGATGCCATTTAGCAGCTCAAAAATGCAGCAAGTGGTCACTCCCACTTCTTGAGTTGCTGAGTCATTAACAGAAAAAATAGAAAATGATTCATCATATATGCATGAGATGGGCGAGTTGCAGTGGTTATGCTGTGCCTGGTAACCAGCTGTCACGCTGCAAAGAAAAATCTTTGCACAATTTCCAAACAGTATTTCACTATATGCTAATCACATAAAAAGCTAGAAAGCTCACTGAGATACCACCATTGATGTCTACAAGTGACCCACAAGTCTAAGATTCATGGATCATGAAGTTATATTCAAGGTATAACTACATACTTTGCACTATAAGTACATGCACCACCAGTACACCATCAGTAAATGTAGATGCACGAAGAAGAGACGTAGGAGGGTCATCTTAATAATATTAACTTAAACTTCTTGAAAGATATGTTCACATTTCAAGCACAACTGTGATATATATACCTATGAATATATAACTGATTTCTCTTCTACACCTTACTCTGTCTCGTTCATAGCATTACAAAAAGTGGCTCTGCTTTGCTCTCTAATGTATAACACTTCACAACCATCAGCCAAGTAAGAAACTGAGCCAGTGGGCAAGCAGAATAAGACATTGCTGAGGACCTCCTCTGGGACAGAAAAACGAACAACCATCAAACCTAGTATTAATGTAGGACATCAAAAGACGCCTCAGCAGAGGTCATGCATCTTACCTGTCTTCGGATTTCCAAGACCAAATTAGCACAAGCATTCTTTGAAGTATTAGTGTTTACTCAGGAGCAGTTAAATCATCACTGGGTACTGGTAAAGATCGAATGACTAAGCGGAAGCATTTTGCACCTAATTTCAAATGTGCATGCTGCTTTCAATAGGAGTCACAGAGTACGTGCACCACTGTAGAAAAGGGCCTGTGGCCCACCAAAGCAAAGCTTGTTCTGGGAAAGCCTTCAGACCACATGATCACACATGGGCAGTTACCACCTGCCTGTCAGCACAAGCAATCTACCCCCTCTGTCACCTGTGTTTACCTGATGGTTGTTATGTTTTTTGTTAAATGGCATGGGAGCAACACAAGTTGACCTCCTTCCACTCAGCTCCTGGACATCTGTGTCTAGTCCTTCTCCATACTCACTTTGTCACAAAAGAAGCAGGAAAAAATACCGCACACAAACATACAAAATCACTTGAGAGAGACAAGGAGACAGCTACTGGTGAAATGTCATAGCTCTGTGACTCCCAGGAACCAGCATTTGCTCTTCCCAGCAGCCATCTCTGGATGCAGCAGCATTGGCTGATATAGAGCACGACTGCGCTTTGGATTCTTCAGTGTCTTTCCTTTGGGTAATTATTAAATGTGTTCACTTCGTCGGTATCTGTCTCTTCAGTCTAGAAATAGCACAGAAATAATATTTCAGCTGAATGAGAAAACGCTGATTTCTGATGTTTTCCACAATAGATGGGTTGATGTGAATATGAAAGATGATGTACTTGATTTTCTTTGTTTTTACCAGCCTCTAGAGAGTTTAATCTTTCCAGAAAAGAAATGTCTGTCTGATTTTCTTTTCCTGTGTGACTGGCAGTTCATCATCCTTTACGACAGATTTATTCTAAAATCAAAAAGTAGAATTCATAAGGCAACTTGAGGAGTTCTACTCATCCTATCTGTAGTCAAATTCCTCTATAAGATTATGTTGAAATATATTTAACTGTCCATCTACCATGAAAAAGGTGACACCTGGATTCAGTGCCCAAGTTTTGAAAGAAAGGGGTTTTCTGTCTGCTTATCAATATCAAATGGCTGAGGTCATTGCTAGACCGCTCTCCATCATCTTTACCAAGTCTTGGGAAACGGGAGAGGTGCCTGAGGACTGGAGGAAAGCAAATGTCACTCCTGTCTTCAAAAAGGGCAAGAAGGAGGACCCGGGTAACTATAGACCGGTTAGCCTCACCTCCGTTCCTGGGAAAGTGATGGAACACCTTATCCTTGGTGCCATCTTAAGGCATATCAAGGATAAGAGGGTTATGAGGGGCAGTCAACATGGCTTCACCAAGGGGAAGTCGTGCTTGACCAATCTTGTAGCCTTTTATGAGGAAATAACACGGTGGATGGATGATGGCAGAGCGGTGGATGTGGTCTACCTCGACTTCAGCAAAGCGTTTGACACGGTCTCCCACAGCATCCTTGCGGCTAAATTGAGGAAGTGTGGTCTGGATGATCGGGTAGTGAGGTGGGCTGTGAACTGGCTGAAGGAGAGAAGCCAGAGAGTTGTGGTCTATGGGGCGGAGTCTAGTTGGAGGCCTGTATCTAGTGGAGTGCCTCAAGGGTCGGTACTGGGACCAGTATTATTTAATATATTCATCAACGATTTAGATGAGGGAATTGAGTGTACTATCAGCAAGTTTGCTGATGACACTAAGCTGGGAGGGGTGGCCGACACGCCAGAAGGCTGTGCTGCCATCCAGAGGGACCTGGACAGGCTGGAGAGCTGGGCGGGGAATAACTTGATGAAATATAACAAGGGAAAGTGTAGAGTCCTGCATTTGGGCAGGAACAACCCCAGGTTCCAGTATAGGCTGGGGAACGACCTGTTAGAGAGCAGTGTAGGGGAGAGGGACCTGGGGGTCCTGGTGGACGACAGGGTGACCATGAGCCGACACTGTGCCCTTGTGGCCAAGAAGGCCAATGGCATCCTGGGTTGCATTAGAAGGGGGGTGGTTAGTAGGTCGAGAGAGGTCCTCCTTCCCCTCTACTCTGCCCTGGTGAGACCTCATCTGGAATATTGTGTCCAGTTCTGGGCCCCTCAGTTTAAAAAGGACAGGGACCTGCTGGAGAGAGTCCAGCGCAGGGCAACTAAGATGATTAAGGGAGTGGAGCATCTCCCTTATGAGGAAAGACTGAGGGAGCTGGGTCTCTATAGTTTGGAGAAGAGGAGATTGAGGGGTGACCTTATTAGTGTTATAAAAATATAAAAAGGGGGAGTGTCACGAGGATGGAGCCAGGCTCTTCTCAGTGGCAAACAATGAAAGGACAAGGGGTAATGGGTACAAATTGGAGCACAAGAGGTTCCACTTAAACCTGAGAAGAAACTTCTTCTCAGTGAGGGTGACGGAACACTGGAACAGGCTGCCCAGGGAGGTTGTGGAATCTCCTTCTTTGGAGACATTCAAGACCCGCCTGGACACGTTCCTGTGTAACCTTATTTAGGTGTTCCTGCTCCGGCAGGGGGATTGGACTAGATGATCTTTTGAGGTCCCTTCCAATCTCTAACCTACTGTGATACTGTGATATTTACTGAATTGAAACTGTCACATTCAGCTTTATAAAACTGGCCTAAAGCAACACATTTTCTTCATGCTTATTTACAAATGTAAGCTTATTTTGCGTACTTCCTAATATTTATTTTCACTCATTTTATTTCACAAAAGAAAGAAGAAAATAGTGGATCAAGATTGCTCAGGCCATTTTTCTTATTTTTACAAAGGTTTTTCAAATCCTTGAGCAAAAAAGTTATACACTGAATATTACTAATAAAGATGGTCCTGATTCACTGATTTGTAGGGATAAGTCTGACCAGCACAGAAAAAGCTAAAAGATGCTGCAGAAAAAGGGTCTCTTGCTTGATGATCACCAGCAGCCAGACCTAGAGAGCCACAGCACCTCCTATACATGAGACCCTGTCCTTTATCTGAGAGAGCACCAGTTGCAACTATTCAGCTTTCAGGTTTTCCATCAGCCAAAAAAGCAGAAGACAAATTTAGTTCCTGGTACCTCTAGCTCAAATTCTGGTAAATACAGCCTTTGCCTACTTTTATTGGACACACAAGGCCCTGAATGATACAAAAATATGTAAGGTCATAAAACAAATAGATGTTGAGCAAGAGATTCTGCTTTTCTTCCCTAGTCATATGAGGATAAGGTGACATTCAATTACATTAAAAATTGGCAGCTTTGACTAAAGGAAGTCCTCTTTCACATAATTAACGGATGGAAGTCCTGGCCCCAGGATGTCATTGAAAAGAAGTTCTACTCCTTGACTCTTGATGAATCTGCAGGGATCTGCATACACTCCGAACCCAGCCTTGTAAATGAAGTTGTCTCCCTGAGACTTTCCAGGATCAAAATCTGCAAGATCCAGGGATGACTCTTTGAAGGGATTTCATGGGAAAAGACCAAGAAAAAATGCCTTCTTTGACATGTCACTAAATGTTTGTTACATATGACATCTGTACAGCAATTACCAAGATTTATTCCACCAGCAACAGCTAGTGACGTGCAGTTTTTCACAACCAGTAGAATCCTGACAACTCTGATAGAGCTAAGGGATTTGTTGCTAATGATTTAAGAATTTAAGATTATTAATACTTTTAGACAACATCTATTCGCTACAAAATCTTAAGAATTTCTACCTTTTCATCATGGCCTGCATTATTCTGTTGACTTTGGTGTTTATTTTGATGACCAAAAATCAGATCTAACACCCACTTGAGTAGGACATTGGCAAAATTAATAATAAAATAAACATCTCCTGATGTCAGGATATTTTTTTAAGAAACACTGAGTATAATTCGTGACTAGGGACACTAAGTAAGTAGTCCTGGTTCCTTAGTTACCAGCAACTTTTTTCCCATGTTTTTATCAAACATATTCAGCCCTATTTAATGGCATGATAAAAGTAACATCTTCTGCAGGCTGGAAGTCACCCATAAAGCTGTCCAATTCGGCTCCCCAAGTCCTGGAGTGGTATAAATTGAATGTTCTACAGTTACACAGTAGCCTTTCATCCCAAGTTTTATTTATAACAGAAGGAGGTGTCTCAAAGTCTGCTTGCATCTACATAACTAATGGGGGAAAGCAACAGGTGGAGCCAGCATTGGCCCAAATTGCAGCACAAGTGCCCTTGAGTTGTTGACAGGGAGTACTTTTCAGAGTATATGAAATACTAGACTAGAACTTAATTTTGTAGTTCAAATAACATGAAAGTACTGTATAGCACAGGTTGACTGAGAAGAGGGCCAGGTGATGTTGGACATCAGTGGTAGGCACTGCACATACAAAAACTGAGGCATACAATTTTAGCAGGTGACACCAAAGCTATGTCTCACCCAATGTCCTGTCTCCAACAGCTGCTCTAGCAGATGTGCAGGGGAAAGTAAAACAAGTATTGGAGCAGCAATCTTAAAGACCCTTTTTCCTCAGAGTACTCATGAGAAGTAGATACACAACCAGAGATGTCATTTTCAATGCTGTACTGCAAGTAATTTAAAATAAGCACAGCTGTATTGTTAGAGGTTGAAGAGGATATATGATTATTAAAAAAAAATTAAATCAGCTTCACCAAACTATTTATCTTCTTTGCTCCCAGAGAATAAGATCATGACAGTCTAATCTCTCCCACAAGAGACAGGCAGTTGTGCCTCTCTTCTTGCACAAACAGCTCTCCATGCTGTTCTGGGCAGGAGAGAAAACTGCATCTACTGGCAGAGAGGCACAGGACACTGCTACCTGCAAAACCAGCACAGGCACAGCCATGCAGAGCCAACCAACCAAAGGTGGTCTTAGGAGTGTTGGTAAATTGAACACAGTTATCCCAATGATCAGTGTACTCCAAACACCGACTTCTGCAAGAGCCTTCAATCTTTGTAAAAATCTTGTAAGAAGAGATGGATGTTTTAGGCAGAGCAGCTTAATATTATTCTAACTGATATTTGCCCTTCATAGTGATTCAGCTGAGTGACTGAAGTGCTAAGATACCAAACCAAAATGCCAATGGTGGGCCAAATACACCTGGTCAAGATAAACACCTGAAAGTTAAGATTTCCATGTGATTAAAGCACTTTATCTTTTCAGGTTCACCTCTCACTATTCATAGCACAGCTAGGCAGGTTTTGGTCTTGCAGCCTTAAGCATACAAATAGTCACATTCACTACCACTACTCAGGAGAACAAGGACTCTAACAGCATCTTTCACTGTCTCTTTTGCCATTAGGAACTGCTAGTGCAGAGGCTTCTGAGCAGACACAGTTATAACCCACAGCCCAATTCTGATCCCAGCTTATACCAGCAAATCATGGGTAAATCCATGGCAGTCACTGCTGTTAAAGAGGAGTAAAACAGCTGTGAGCTAAGTGGCATCAGGATCAGATCATCTGCTTACAGCCTCATATGCTTCCAAAACGTTCTCTGATGGGGCTGAAATTTTCCATGACTGATCTCTGGCCAAGGGCGACTCTCCTCTTTTTATTTTTTTATTTTAAGTATAAGCAAACCTTCCATTTTCTACAGGAGAGAAAATGTTGGAAAGAGGGCAGAGCAACCCTGTGAGGAACAGTTCTGTAACACATAGCCTTTTTGTTCAAGCCTCTGTATCTTTGTAGTGCAAAATGTGATTTATTACCACAGGATAGTGGATTCTTAAAGGGCCAGAAAAAAGTGCTATTGGACAAAAAACATAGTTTTGTCCTGCTTCTTATTCAAACACAGCCCTTGCATATATATTTCCTGTATTTGTATGCATTGTGCAACAGTGGAAATCAGAAAGTAACCACTATAGAGCTGTTTACAGAATGGGAGATAATAAACCTGACTATA